CCAACCTGTCAGACCAGGTGCGAGAGCCGGCGACAGTGCCCACCACGAGGGAGCAAGCCGTGGACGGTGTGAGCGCAGAGAGGAGCTCCGCCCCCTGCATCATGGCTGAAGGTGAGCTGACTATGGCGGGACATAAGTGCCAGAACGAAGAGGGGAGGGCTCCTGATTCCTCGTTCAGCCCAGGAAGGGCTCCTGAACCCCAGTTCAGCCCAGGAAGGGCTCCTGTTCCCGGGTATAGCCCACGGAGGGCTCCTGTTCCCGGGTATAGCCCAGGGAGGGCTCCTTATCCCCGGTATAGCCCAGGGCGGGCTCCTGATCCCCCGTTAAGCCCAGGGAGGGCTCCAGGCCCTGGGTACAGCCCCGTAAATTTCCCCAAGTATTTTTTGGGGGGGGGTAGTAAGGCTCCAGCCGTAGAGGCCGAGGTGGGGGCTGCGGCCTCGGAGGCTGCTCCACCAGGGCCTCCTAAACTACCTGCTCCACCAGGGCCTCCCGAGTCCCCTGCTCCGCCGTGGCCTCCCGAGTCCCCTGCTCCGCCCGTGGCCTCCCGAGTCCCCGCTAGGGGTGAGGAGAAGGGTGTCGGCTGTGGCCCCAGAGTTCATTCCAGTGTCAGCCCAGGCCCCAGAGTTCAGCCCAGGAAGGGCTCCTGTTCCCGGGTATAGCCCACGGAGGGCTCCTGTTCCCGGGTATAGCCCAGGGAGGGCTCCTTATCCCCGGTATAGCCCAGGGCGGGCTCCTGATCCCCCGTTAAGCCCAGGGAGGGCTCCAGGCCCTGGGTACAGCCCCGTAAATTTCCCCAAGTATTTTTTGGGGGGGGGTAGCGGTATTGTTCATGTCATGTATAGCGTGAGTGTTCCTTTTGTTTATTAAACCCATTTGGATTAATGTACTCGTCTCTCTCCGTTCCTTGCTCCACAGTCCGCTCAGCAGTGCACCCGTGACAATAACCTTTCCCATTCTTCATTTGCTCGACTTTATTGTTCCAGATTTACATAATTTTAATAGACTGGAATTTGTATTACATGAATGCTTGCACATATTTACGGTGACCCATTGATGCCACACACATTTATTTATTTTTTTCCCACTCCGGTATGTCGTTTTAACGACATGTTTTCTCGTTAAAACATGTTTTCCGGTTATTATAGATAGGCCATATGGTACATTATGTGATCGAGCTAAGCGACTCCGCGCTGCTGTCGCCACAGTCTGACATAAACGAGGATCTGCACGCTGCTGAAATGATTGAAATACACTGTTTTAAATGTATTTTAATGTAAAGAAAATAAAGAGATTTTCTAATAGGCTAATAATAATAATAGCCTAATAATAATGATAACAACAACAATAATAATAATAATAGCCAAAGAATAAGAATAATAGCATAATAATAAGAAGAATTATTATTATTTCGTTCTGTTTGAAAACGAGCAAACGAAAATTAAGCTAGATTTTTCGCAGGCCTATTTTTGTTCGTGGGTCGTTTATGTCAGACTGTGGCGACAGCAGCGCGGACAGACGCTTAGCTCGCTCACATAATGTACCATATGGCCTATCTATAATAACCGGAAAACATGTCGTTTTTATGACAAAATATGTCGTTATTACGAGAAAAAATATGTCGTTTTAACGAGAAAATATGTCGTTTTAACGAGATAATTATATCGTTTTTACGACATAACATTTTAACGAGAAAAGATGTCGTTTTAACGAGAAAAGATGTCGTTTTAACGAGAAAATATTTCGTTATAACGAGAAAAGAAGTCATTTTAACGAGAAAAGATGTCGTTTTAACGAGAAAACATCTCGTTATTACGAGAAAAGATGTAGTTTTAACGAGAAAAGATGTAGTTTTAACGAGAAAAGATGTAGTTTTAACGAGAAAAGATGTAGTTTTAACGAGAAAAGATGTAGTTTTAACGAGAAAAGATGTAGTTTTAACGAGAAAAGATGTCGTTAAAACGACATAACTGAGTGGAAAAAAAAAATATGTGTGTGGCATCAATGCGTCACCGTACATATTGACTAATATTGCTTAGTGACATTTCAAAAGTGGTTGCATGACTAGCTCTTGAATATTTAGTGACATCATAAGAGCACTGATAGTTGTCAAAAAGGTGCATTGTGTGCTGGAGCCTATATGTGCTGGAATTAATGTTTTACATGGACGAGCAGTGGAATGCTAATGCTTTCCTGCACAGCATGACAAAAGACATTTGGATAAACTGTAAATGAACCCCCTGTCCATTAGATAATATCCATATGAACCAGTGCAGAACATATATTGTTGACAGTGTCATGACGGCTCCTCTGTGGTTCCTGTCTCAGGATGTCGGACGGATTGGGACGGGATCCGCTGCTGGCGGACAGCCAATACTGGACAACTCATTAATGTGTCCTGTTCAGATGTCTTCCAGCACATCTCCAACACTCAAGGTCAGATCTATCTATCTATCTATCTATCTATCTATCTATCTATCTATCTATCTATCTATCCATCCATCCATCCATC